GCGTCCGTGGATAGCTCGCTGGCGGTCCCCGTCTTCGCGAGCTGCTTCAGGTGGCGCACACGAGCCTGGTCACGGCTGAGCAGCGACGCCGATCCGGTGAGGTTCACATGTTTCGCGAACGGAAGGGTGACCAAAATTGTTGCGGACGGTCACGGCCGGGCCGGCCGCGACGGCGAGTGCGAGAGCGAGGGTAGCGAGGAGAGAGGAGCCGGCGAGCATGCTGGGATGAGTCGACGGGTTCCACAACGACCACGGTCATGCATCCTCGCCTTATATCACTGCCGTCGCTCCGCCCCATGTCAGCATGTGGTGCGCACACCTCACCCAAACGGCACTCACCAGGCCCAGTAGACGTGCTAGGACTTGGCACAAAGATGGGAACTGAGGACCGGCGTTCCGGTTCTAAGACAGATATTCTTGACAGTGCCGTGCAGTACATGTGCTAAATCAGCGTTCAACATTCGTGCTCCGCATGAGAATTAGGCAAAGCTCACCTAATAACAACGAAGTTGCACAATATGAGCTGCTGGTCTCTAAGTGGGGTACAGTGACCAATGACTGCTTCCTTCTGTGGCGCGCCAGTCTCAGGTATGCATCGCGCAGTATGCTCTCGGGCTATCCGTCGTCGGATATTTAGTGAACATCATGGAGCGTTGCTAATGAAGGTAGCAGAGAACAAATTAGTGTGCGAAGAAAGAGCCCTAAGCCGACCCGATCGTCCACGTGATTGCCTGCTGTCTGAAGCTACTTAGGCTCGCCAATCCCAAACACTCAGTTGCAGGAGAACGCAGCAATTGAAATAGCCATGACGACGGGACGGTCTTCTTTCGTGTGGTGTCACTGTGGTGTGCAAACAGTCGGTGTGCCGTACGGCTCGATGAGCTCATGACATATATAATCCTGTGAAATTCATCTTGCGAAATTCATCTCATGCTCACGTATTGTCACCGTATGCTGGGAGATATTAAATGCATCGGTGCTGGTGAGAATTGGACAAATACGTACATGATCGCGTCATATCATATTAACCTAAACCGAGCACGGGGATCTCGAAGTTCAAATCCATCGCAGACTTGCCAGGGCCGTCTAGTCTACCACGGAAACTGATCTTTGTTGGTGCCCTCTTCATTGGCCAGACTGTTGTACATGTGGCCACTACGACTCAACTTCAACGATACTATACTGCCTGTTTATCCTTCTTCGTCTCGGTCACCTGCGCTACCGCATCTTTTGTGTACATTACAATGTGCAATTCGAGAGTCAAATTTCTGCGTAAGCCATGCTGTGATCACAAGCATGACACCACACGCTCAGTTCGTCGTCGCATTGGTGCAGGGAGTCGTAGCGAATCCCACCCGCTTGTTCGTTGTATCCTGAGAGCATTCGTCAGGCCGCTGTATGAACGACGACAAGACAAAGAACTTCCGAATACAGTATAGAACCGCTCCAGGAAGGTCTGGCTCATGACGAAGCCGAGGTTGATGGCGCCTACTGAGCCAATGTCAGAGACAATGAGGTAAACGTAGTAGTTAGTGCCGCCAACCGCCGCGTTCAGAGGCCTCCGCAGGACTCGAAGTGAACACGCGCACGTTCGACTAGGATTTCCATGTGGACCTACCGGCCATATCTGGGCGTTCGCGGTAAACTCAAGCGCCGTGCCATTGATGTGGAAGTACAAACTCTGCAGGTTTGCGAATTGTTCTGGGGTGAGGCGGAACATACCGGTAGCATTGTCGAACACGGCACCCGTGGCTTGCTGGTAGCGCATCGTGGCATCTGCACGAGAGGACGATACTGAGCGAGGGGCGGTATACAATGTGAAATCAGCATACCTGTGGCGATCAAGATGAGTGTGGCTCCGCCATCGACGGTCTCGTTGAGGATGCTGATCCCCAACGTGCCATAGGTGACGCTCTCGTCAATACCCCTGAGGCCAGTCTACGCGTGAGATCCTGGATTTCTTGTTGAATACCGTTATCACATACCAGAATCCCGATGCAGGTGCCGTGGTGGTGAGAGGACTGTATACACTGATCAGCACGGCCAACAGGCTAGAGTGCCAGAATGCTAGTTCACTCACGCAAGGCAATTTCGCCAATGAATTTGCTTGAATCAGTACGTCCAAACGTCAACTCACCGTTGGTAACGTCGACTGACATCGTGGGCTCGAATGAGAATTATGAGACCGCGACAAGATTCTGAGAAATGGCTCCTTGCGAGAAAATTTTGACGGTAACTGCAAGCAATGCGTAGTGTCAACGATTGATTCGACAGATCAGTCGCCACGACCGACGAGTTGGGATCGTTGACTACGTATCATCCGGAGATAGTGAACCAAGAGTCAAGCCTTGGGGGCCAATGCTAGTAGAGAAGACCAAAGATATCAATGAGAGGCCGTGCCGGGCACATGCAAAAGAAAATGCTCGCCCTATGATACCTTCGATAGCTGTGAAGCCTTCCGAGCTACAGTACTGGCAAAGCCTGGGACCAGTCGCTGGGGGGCTCGCAAGTCGTGGCGTAGATCGGTTCGATCAGTTGCTTCACGATCCCCACTGGGTTAAACCGAACCGCGGCCGAGCGCCGAGGTCTTGGAGTTCAAGTTCATTCATCGCAGGACTTGCCAGGACCGTCCACTACTGAAGCTGGTCTTCGCTGATTCCCTCTCTTCGTCACCAAGCTCTCGTTCATGTAGTAACTGTAAAACAAACGGTCAACTCCGATGAGACTGTACCGCTTGCTGGTCCCTCTTGCCCCTTTTCGTCTTGGTCACCTCTGCCACTGCTTCGCCTGCACAGAAACGAGCCCTGAACGACGTCTTCGACCCCTTTCAGACTGTACAACCGCCGCAGCCACCGCCGCAAGAGACGCATGTCGAACATGCAACAGAGCGCCTCACTCATTCGGCTGCACCAACTGGCACTGTCTCACTAGCTGGGCTCCTGACCTCGCTTGACTCAAAGTCAAAGTCTTCGAATCTGGCTGGCTCTCACTCGCAGACCACTTCAGCTCTTTTGTCATCATCGCCTAGCACAGTCAGCACAATGGCTTCCGTATCCACTTCTACATCACATACTTCTGCGACACCAACACCAACAGCGACAACGCCCTCCTCTTACCCCATCGCCCCTACACATTCCTCGACCCAGTCTGGCGGCCAGTCCATTAATCGCGGTACCGGGGAATGGAAGATCATTGGCGTGGCAGTCATCTCCTTCAGCGCCGTCGCCGCCATCCTACTACTCGCCGTATTCTTCGACCAGTGGTGGAACTTCATGCGTGACCTCGTCTGGAAAAAGAAGCGAAAGGATCTCAACCATGTCGAAGAGCTCATACCGGACTGGGAGAAGACCGGCTGGGAGATTCGTATGGCAAGACATAATGACCGTTACCCATCGCTGCCGCCGCCTGCGCGGACGAAGAGCCTGACATGCGACGACGATCTGGAGAAGGCTCCGGTAGAGAACATGACCGGCATCGGCTCGGGCTTCGTCCCAAATAACATATACGCACCACAGCCTATTCGCAGCAATACCTACGCGCACGGCCTCGGCATTCTGACACCTGTACCCCAAGCCCGATACGCAGACCAATCTCCAGCGCGCTCTACGTCCCTGAAGAGAAGTAACTCTCGCGCAGCACCGCCTTCGCCTGCCATGACTCTGGTGGATCCGTACGGGGGAATTGAGTAAGAGACCCCATTCAACAGCATGTAACATTGGCAGGGTGTTTGGCTACAATGAAAACTTCGCGCTTCATGAGCTCTTCGCATCGCTTTGAACTGGTTGGGCAGGCTGAGTTGAACTTGATGTGGGCAGGTTTTTCTCGAGCCGGTCTGACACAAGAAGGCCCAAGATAGCGAAGCCGGTGATACCGAGCGAGATCCTCAGGCGAGTCTTCGCAGGCAGTACTGTGAACATAAATAAGATTGGCACGAGGCCAGGTGAACGCTCCAAGTCGCACCTGCCCATGACTCCCATACCGACCGCTTGCTCACCGGGATATCGCGAAAAGACTTCGGGGACGAACTGGAGGATTCCGGAGTTTGTTTCGACGACATGGACTCAAAGATGGAGCGCCCGGAGCGTGCAGTGTATGCCACAGTTATGGTCCAGGTCGAGGAGCC